TCAAAAATAGCTGTAAGTGGAATCTCACTGTATACTCAACCTGAGCGGAGGACAGCTGGGTGCATCTGGCAGCAAAAGAGCCAAACCAAATCTCCAATGAAGTAGAAGGTTCGTGATTGGGATTCACCCATGTATGTGTAGTATTCATGACAGAACTTTTCAGAGAAGTAGATAAGGTATGTATCAGCAAAAAACTGAGCTCTGTGCTGCAGAAACACAATGAACTAAAACTCCAACCTTTATAAGATCGTCTATACAAATGAAACCGAGCACCAGCTCCCTCCTGTCAGGTTGCTGGCTTGCTTCAAAGATCGGCTGCGATTCAGCGAAAGCTATCACAGGTCCAGACAACTGCCTGGACTACAGGATTCAATGCCTATAAAGACAGAATCACAGTGTTCCTTGCAGTTTATAAACACTAAGACCAAGACAAGGCCAAGGATGTTGGGATCTTGCTCTAGGCCTTCCTATTGTGTGAATTCCACCACGTGGAGGTCTGGTCTCAAGACAACTACGCAGTCATTGCTGGGGTGGCCCAGTACAGACGAATTATAGCTTATAAGTTTTTCTATTTCCTATCAACTAAAGGTGAACTAATTAGTCAAGTCTCAGAAGAAGCTGATTCAACATAGTCTTTGGCAACCGATATACTGGAAAGCTGTTCCCCGGTGATTTAATTAACCTGGGGAACAGAAGTGGGGGCTCGGCTGCAGAGGACTGCCACCGTGTTTTTCTGCTGGTCTGTGTTGTAGCAACCTGCAGCTGGCTACTCAGGAATACACCATCTGCGGTTCAAACAGCCAACAGGTCCCTGTCTTCAACAAAGGTAGGTGCTGCTCAGGCTCCCGAAGGGTTAACCTTACCATGCAAGAGATAGTAGAGGATATTTGCAAAAGCAGGCTGACGTCTGTGTATTTGTGCAGTCTAAGTCACAAACGTGGAAGGAAAAAGTAAGTCTGTAACCTCAAAACCAGAAACCAGAGTCACATCAGATCAGGTGCAGAAGCTCACAGGCTGTTAGAATGAAAAATAAAACCAAGGAGCAGATAGTCAGCAAAGAACAGTTCAGAATCTGTGAATGCTGAACACATGGAGGAAGCCTTCCCCTTTATCAGGGCCCAGGGTCCAAGCTAAATCATCCCCTCATAAATCAGCACAAACCAGCTTCCAAAATCAGCAAAATGTCTGCACCGTGTAAACTGGCGCACTGTTGAGAAAAGGCTCCAGGTAGTCTGAGAATTAACATGGCTTTGATTATAGATAACTTACTGGGTTGCAAAGAATATTGATTAATTATGAATAATAAATTAGAGACTTTGGGGGGGTTGGCTAATTCAACAATTAGTTGATATTTATTCAGTAACTAAGAACAAGGGACACATAGATCGCACATTTGACCAACAATTCATTTTTCACTTAAATGTGTGAGTATAAATGTGATTACTGATGATCCATTAATCTTCATTTGTTTGGAATTAGCCTGAGCGTGAAAGCAGTTGCTTTTAGGATAGGACCTTGAATGACTGGAAGCAAGCTCATTAGGGAAGAAAACATCTGTGCCTGGTGGGTTTGTGAGAACAGATCAACTATTCCACAGCTGTCCAGCTGTCCGAGCAGTTCACTTTGAACTAGGGAAGGTTACAATTTCCACACAGCATGGAAGTCTGCTAACAGTAAAACCAATGGGAAGCCTTGAAACTGACTGTAAAATGAGTTAAGAGGTGGTATTTAACTGTGATATTTATTCATATCATTTGCATAAAATTGAGATTTATCATTAATATGGTTAATTTGATTTTCGTAGACAAATAAATTATCTGGTTGCCAAATACACAGCCAAACCAATATTTCACTTTTTATTTAATGATCTATTTTACATTCAAGTTTGCACCTGAAAACTTTAATTAATTCATTTTTTTCCATTATAGCTTGTGCTAACAACTTTATTGCCCAGAAAAAAAGAAACTGCACCAAATGGGCTGATTATAGAAATTTTAAGTGTTAATTTTCAGTGAAGCATTATCAAGTGAGTTGATTTTGGCCAGGCAAAATGGTAATCACAATCAATTGCCTCTCTCTCAGCAGTTCAGTCCCTTTTCTGACCCTCCCACCCTGCCTTCTCTCCCCTCCCACTCACGCTAATTACTCCATGACTGCAAATATTCTATCCCTTTTCCACAAGCACTTGCTGTGAAAATCAACACAGACCATAAGAGAGCAGGAGCTTTCTCCTGAAAGTTTGAATTTTACCTCGATCCACACTTTTAAATTATAAAATTATTGAAGGCAATGCTTTCAGATTTACCTGTTCCATCTGTAAAAAAGGCAGAGAATTCTGCTCCCACTTTAGGCTCCTAGAATCCTGTTTTGTTTCATTTAACAAGAAAGGAAAAGTTTTAAAAATATCTGTATATTTGTCCCATTTCCATATTTTCTGTGTCACAGTAAGAACTGGCATAGGATAAGGTATGGTAAACTACAGTACTTGGTGCTCAGTATTCTAAATTAAGAATTAAATCATAATTTCAAGATGCCTTTTCAAAGGGTTCATTTTATATCATATCATTCATAATGTATGACTTTTGTAACTGTGTGTGTGTTTAACCAGGTTGATTAGTTTAAAAAAAAAGGTAATTATTAATTCTTCATTAGAGAGTCACTTATGAGGTAAGAAAACAATTGGAGCTCTCCTACCTGAGCTTTCTCTGGTCAGAGCACCACACAGACGCTGCATTCGTTCCTTGTCTCTAGAGGCTGGTGTTTGAGGACAGCAACTGAAAGCAGCTCATGGTCTACTCTGTAAGAAGCAAAGCTTCTGCTGCACCGGATCAAGGGAACTAACTATGCTCCACATCTTCTGAGAGAGCACACAATTAATTTACGAAATTGTGCTATCACTGTTTGGATTCCTGCTACTAAGCAGAAATTCAGTAATTCTTTTCTTATTCGTAACACACAAAGTCAGCTATTCTATGTACTTAGAAACCAGCTCAGAAGGTTTGTGCTATCCTGAAGAGAATTTAAACCAACAGATGAAAGTGTGGAAACTACTGTGAAAGTTCCTGGCTTTTGCAAACAGTGCACTCATTGTCTAAACACTTTGCCAATCAGCAACATGATCAGGACATTTTTCTGTCATATTCTGTAAACTTTTCAGACATATCTCTTAAGATCAATGGCTTATGGGCAATTCTTATTTTTTTATGACATGAAAATCTAATATTTTGGCTGACTGATAATCTTTTGTTTAAAAAAAATAGAACTTTTTAAGTCTTTACCTAATTGTTGCGGAAGCATTGGGTAAATATACCAGCAATTTTAGGTGAAAATAAGGAAGAATTGCTTTCAAACAAACATAAGTACAAACATTCTAAGAGCACTTCACCACCCTCCTCCTCTCCACCACCTCTGCTGTACATGGGGTTTTTTCATAGAATATTTTGTGTCGTATTTAGCTCTCCTAAAACAAGAAGCAATATGACAAGTGTTCAAATATCACTACTTCTAAATTCCCAGCCAACATGAAGAGTTACAATGGCTAGTTTCCTGTCTAAAGAAAGTGTTCTGAAGATATGCATTGCTCACGTGCCACTGAACCTCAATAAATTCTATATGTTTAATAAATGAGTGCAAGAGTTTGTCATGATCTTAGATATAAAACTACTAACATCCTTGAATGCTATCAATTTCTCATGAAACAACTAAGCATGGAGCATTAAGATGGGAGGAGAGAATATTTCAATTCATTTAAACAGTCTGATAGTATTTGCTGTGGAGCAGATACAATCAGGAGATTTAATTTTTAAAAAAAGTGGGCTGAGAGAGGCTGCCAGAGAATAAAGCTACATTAGTGTTCAATATTTTAGTATACGAAATACCTGAATGTGTTCTGCATACTGATACATGAACATATCTAGCATTTAAGGTATAAGTAGGGTAGCTACTTGAAATTTGAAGTACACAGAAAGTGAGGACCATTTAAATTACACTTAGTCTTGCATATGCCAATGAATCTAAGCAGTTATGACTTGCAACATAGCAACTCAGGCAATTGTGAAGAAATGTTTTCCAGGTAGGCAATACTTTATGAAACTTTTGAATGACAAAAAGACCAATAGATAATGTTAAAAATAAAAATCACATCCCTTTGTAAAGAATGTATGTGTTAGAAGGTGACTATCATACGTTGAACACTTGTGAATTCATGTTTTTGCATTCCTAAGAATTACCTTGCTCAAAAATTATTCTGAAAACAATTTATGTCATCTAGTTGTCCAAATGAATTTTGAATAAAATGTAAGAAGAGCTCTATTTGAAATTTTAATTCACTTAATTTGAGAACAGGAATCATGCACTTCCTTTTACATGGAAAATCTATCAGATAAAGTTATTTTCTTGTGTACTAGTCAGCAATACTTAACACATTGTTAGAAATGACATGCATTCATGTGACGATTTTGTTTGACGTTGAACATCGATCAATACCTGCCTCCTGACAAGAAACCCACGTTTCTCTTAAGAGTTTACAAAATGCTGCACAATGATTTAAAAGAAGTAGGCCTCAGAAGCTAATCAATGACTAGATTCAAGAGTGGAAATATCAATCAAAAAGGCAACTTCCAACTCTTACTTTAGAAGGAAGTCACCCTTGTGACAGCAGGTTACTTAGGTGTCACTCTTGTGGCTACAGTTCCGAAAACACCCTTTCTGAATGGCTTCAGGAACTTTAGCTTTTACAAAACTCCTGACCTGGTGAATAACCAGTCCACAGAGAGGGAAGCACAGAAGATTGGTTAAGAACATCCAAGAGGAGGCAAACAAACATGAACACACACCGGGAATCTAAAGCGTCAGCTATTGTCAAACCATAAATGCCTACACCGTGATGAATTATTTAATTTCAAAAATCTTACAGCCTTAAAAAAAAAAAAAAAAAAGGGCCGCTCTCAGTCCCAGAAGCCAGACTGATTTCTAAGCAGGCCTTTCAGCTCGCCGAGGTTTTCAGCTCTGAGTTTTGTGGAACATCTCGAAATCATCACAAGGCTATTCAATTTTAATTTCGGTTTTAGCCTTTCACAAAAACACAGGAAAGGATTCTCCTGAACCTAACCGGTTCGCGCTGTGGGAACTGAGCCACGGAGCTTTCTCTTTCACCTCAAGACATTTGCAGCCCGCACTGGAATGCCACTTTTCAAACTGAAGAGGGGAAAAAGAAAGAAAGAAATCTGTTTCTTGCTTGAGAAAGAGACCTCTTTGGAAAAAAAAATCTAAGAAGGTAGAAACGCAGAGCTGTGAAAGATGAACTGTTCAAGGTAACAGAGAAGTTTCGAAAGTCAAAATCGGGTTAAGAACGCAGTGATAAAATGACCACGCGAAGCCAGTGACGGGTGGACATCCGGGTTCGAGGGCTCCAGTCTGCGCAGCCGGAGCTTGGAGGTGCCAAGGTTGGGATGCATTTGTGCTTGGGTCTGAAATTACCGCGGGGTGGGAGACAGGTAGCAATAACTTCAGGGAGGGTGACAGGCACTGCACTGTGTTGAGATGGCCAAGAAAGGTGGACAACCAGGCAGAAGATGTTTTATTCCAGGCGCAAAGACAGCACCGAGTCCACCGAACCTCTCTGGGCGATGTGGGAATCAGTCAACCTCGCGGTGACAGCGAGTGGACCCTTGGCCTTTGCTGTGGGACCTGAAGGAGCAGTCGCCTCCTCGCCTCCAGCATTAGTCCTTCCCACCAGAGGGGAACGAAGTCCGGAGGCCTTCGGCCTGGGCCACAGCGTGCATCCCCGAGGGCACCGGGCTCTGACCTCGGGTTTCTCCGGCCAAAAGTATCGCCGCCCGTTGGCTCCCCGCGTCCTTGGAGGAGGGCAGGGAAGCCATGAATCCAGAGGCTTCCTTAGCTCTGACAAGGATGGGATTTGGAGAAAAAGACAATGCGGGCTAAGAGGGGAGAATTGTAAGAAGTCACGCGTGAAGTTGAGGGTGGCACTATTCTAAAGAGCGACAAAGGATTAGACGCGAGACAGACGCGGCTTCCACATTTGGGTGCCTCCAGTTACTACAAGAATAACCCCAAGAAGCTTTGAGACCTCGAAAGTGGAGAGCGAACCGAGAACCCCGCAGCCCGGGCGGCCGGTCAGACAATCATCCCTCCATTGGTCCTGGACGAGCTACGACCTGGGTCGCGGCTTGATGGCTGTGCTCTGAATACGGTCGGCCAGCCTCCTGCCCTGGGCGGGATCTGGGGGAGGCCCCCCAATCCCTTCCAGGAAGGCTGGATCTTGGGACGCCACGCCCCGCTGTCCTCAGATAGCGCCCTTCTCCCTAAGGGCGTCCTTCCTTCTTTTCTTTCTTTCTCCGTCACATCTACTAACCCCTCCTCCCTGCACTAGAGCCCCCCTCCCCCCCACACACACACCAGGCAAAGGTCAAGGACGTGTGCTCCGGGGGTGCCGTCCCCAGGACCTCTTGCAGTGAAGTCAGAGACAAACTGGAGGGTCCCCAGTCAGGCTCTGCACCCCTTAGTCCTGCAAGGTCAGAGACAGGCACGAAGGACTCCCAGCTGGGCTTCGCACCCCACACTCTACAGCCCTGCAAGACAGAGATAGCACTGGGGGTCCCAAGCTAGACCTTGTATCTTGCAACCTGCAGCCCTGCGAGGTAGAGACAGGAACGAGAGTCCCCGGTTGGACCCTGCGTCCTGTCCTGCTGCCCAAGCCCTTGGCCCAAGCAGCAGAAACCCTGTGGCACGGGTCCCCAGCCGCCGGGATGGGGGTGGGGGGAGAATCCAAATTAAACACGGAGAAGGGCTCGCGAATATGGCGCTGCTGAAAATGGAGCCTCGACACCCGGAACGGCCTGATCTCGGGTGCTGCCTTGGCCTCCTCGCTCTTCCCCCTTGTGCTCTCGCTTCCGCCTCCTGGGCTCTCCTGCTGGCACCCTCCACCCGGGGGACCCTGGACCGTTCTCATCCTAAGCTCCCTTCCCGCGCCTCCCTCCTTCTTGTCCCCCTCGGTTCCTCTTTCTCCATTTTGTGTCTGTGGCTGGCGCGTTCTTCTCTGCAGCTCTCTGAGTTCCCACATCGGCCGTGTTTGTGTGTGTGGTCTCTGCGGGTTTGTGTGTGGGCGAGAAGGGGCGTCCTGGTGCAAACCCAGGCAGCCAGGGGCCGTGGTGGCGAGTCGGTGACCGCAGAAGCCACTGGCCTCCTCCCGTGGGCCGAGCGCTCGCCCCGCAGCTGAAGGGACTTCGTGGGGCGCTGGCGTCTCCTGCCGCGACGAGGAGGCCTTGGGCTCCCTGCCACCGTTCTCTCTGCTGCTCTCTCTGTCCCTGGCTCCGTCTCGGGCTCTGTGTCTCTCTGTGTTTCTGTCTCTCGGCAACTCTCTCTTTTCCTCCCTCCTTCTCTTCCCTCCTCTCTCGCTCGCTTGTTTTCTGTTTCTGGTTAGCTGGCTGAATTTACTCCGTGCTTTCTTTTCTTCCATTGCAGCTGGCCGTCTTGTACTGGTTTTGAACAGACAAGGAATCGGAATCTTCTTTCTAGACGGACTTCCAACGATGATTTTTAGAGAATTCTGCAAAGAATACAGTGATGTTGATAACTCATGCTTGTGTTCCGCTGAAGACAGTCACTCTCAAGCAGTAAGGTGACCAAGTGTTTAAAGATTAAATTTTCTTTTAAATCGCTCCCCCTTTTACATTCAAGACTCTCTTCCCCCACCCCCCGCCAGGAAGAACTCTGCTGTGCTGCTTTTGAATACAAAATATTCCTAAATTATGGTCCTTGGGATGTTCCCTGAGATGAGAAGCAACGTGATTTTGAAGCCTCCCGGTTTGCAGCTGGACAGACACGTGGCTTCCTGAACTGTCTGGCTGAAGAGGTGTTTTCTGACAGGCCGATCTTCACGGCAGAGACTGTGGTGTGGTGTAGCTGGGCAGAATCCTTCTTGGTTCTGTTCCAGCCAGAGGACAGAAGCATGTCAAGTGAAGGGGAGCAATGACATCATTTGCTGACCTAAGCCCCTCTTTCAATCACAATGAGGGAAGCTGGTCTATATCTAGAGACTGAAAATAAAATAATTTATCTTTCCAACTATATTTAACTTTCTAAACTCACATTTACAATAACATTCTATTTTATTCTCCTCACTGACAGAACTGCATCCTCCAGAGCAAATCGAAGGTGTCCCTTCTTTATATGATGTACTCTGGAGTTCCTGGAAATAATTGAAGATAAAAATTTTGAAGCTTAAAAAAAATCTAGGGGGAATTGTTCTTAGCAGAAATCACAGAATGTTTCCTTTAACATAAAAATTTCCTTGGCTTCCATTCATTGTCTTTGATTAAAATCAGGTTCCAGGACAGGCTCCAAAGCCACAGAAAAAACCCTATCTCAAAAAGCCAAAATAAAATAAAATAGAATAAAATCAGGTTTTGAGCACATCTTCTTTTCTATGAAGAGAGGGGAATGCTCACCCATCTTGGCAAGAACCTTAGCAATGCAGCCAGGCCCTGTGAAATCTACAGTGGTAACTTCAGATTATAGATGAGAAAGTTGGCCTCGCAAGTTCTTTGGATTTGCAAATCTGACTCTTAGAACCTTAGACAGTAGATTAAAGCATTTTCTCTGCATTTCTCATTCTGCATTGGTAGGCAGCAAATGAGTTTGACTGGAAGTACAGGCTTTTCCCAAGTGAGCTTTCTAAAACTGGGCATCATTGGAGAAGTCTCACTTGTTCTTCAATTTAATTGGAATAACTCAGTACTTAAATCAAGTTAACTCTATTAAGATGTCACTTCCTGATCAATGCAGTAAAAATTAAGCACAACTCAGATGGCTTTAGAAAGCCTTATATAAAGTCTAAGGAACCCCCATTGCTGGGGGGCGGGGGGAGTGGCCAGGACCTATCTTCTGAGCAGGAGAAATATTCAAAGTATTCAAGGCAGTGTGTAGACAAGGATGGGACAAACCAGGGCTGACAGATTATAGGCAATGCTTGGTCTGTCTCTATTTACTCTTATTTAAAAAGCAACTGCTCAGATTAGAAAGAAAAAGCAAGCATCTTTACCTTTACCTACATACAAATTAAATTTCAGATACATTAAACACAAGAAAAAGAGAACTTTTTAAAATATGTTGATCATGGAGCTGGAGAGATATTTAAGAGTGCTGACTGCTCTTCCAAAGGTTGAGTTTGGTTCCCATCACCCATCTCAGGTGGGTCACAACCATCTGTGACTCCACTTCCAGGGGATCTAATGCCCTCTTCTGGCATCTGCACACATACTAACGCAGAGATAAAATGCACATTAATATTAACTTTTAGGGTATTGATAATGATTATGGAAGAATTCTTCATAAGCATGATATAGGGAAGGAATTCTTCCTCCCTCCCTCTCTCCCTCCCTCCTTTCTTCCCTCTCCTTCTATCCCTCTTCCTCCCTCTGTCCCTCCTTCCCTTCCTCCTTCCATCCCTCCCTCTCTCTTTCTTTCTTTTGTGACACTGGGGATCAAACTCAGGGCACTGGCTATGCTCAGCAAGTGCACTACCACTACTGCCTAGGAAGTATGACTTAAAGTGTTAAAATGTACGATCGATAGAGGAGGGGAAATGACAAAATGAATCATATTTAAAATACCTTGAATATGATAGGAGACATAAAAATTAAAAGATAAACTGAGATGGTCTTTTCAAGGTATGTACTTGACTAGAAATTAATATTTAGAATGTATAAATGACTTATGCTGAAAATTAATAATTTATAAAGAATTTCATAAGTGAAAGATGTGGGTAAGGACATACACATATGAAGTAAAAGTGTAGGGCAATTAACAGGAAGGCTATATATTGACTTCAAAAGAAAATGATTTCCTCTTAGAGAAAGAGAAAGAAGAAAGATGAATTGGAAAGAGTCCCAGTGAGGCTAAAGCTCAAAGATCAAAGGCCTTCATGGCAAGATATTAACACTCTTTTTACTTTGAAACCTTTTTGCTAGTTAGTTACAGTTTGCTTTAGACATCTTTAACATCAATGCCCATTCAATTAGCAAAAAAACAAATGACACATTTTCCTCGTCAATAATAATCCTGTGTGGTGGAGTTCACATGTAATATGACAAAGCACACAGGATTCCCTAGTGTCTGCCTTGTGAGACCGGAAAGGAATAAATTATTCACAGCAGAGATTCTTCTGTGGTGGTATCTCCGTGTGGCACGTTCATTTGTTTTCTGAGTAGATTAGTGGGAAGAATGAAAATGTATTTAAAGTTTATTTATAATAATAACAACATTTATTCTTATTCAATGAAAACTTTTAAGAACCTCATACAGCTGGATCCTAAATTTCCTCTAAGGCCTTAGTCCCCATCTTAGTGTAGTTAGGATGGATTTGAACTTAGAAATGAGGACCCCTAGGGTACCATTGCTGAGTGGGTATGTCTGGCGCTTCCTGCTTTACGCTTCTGAGTTCATCCAAGAAGTGAGTGGCCTTAGCCCTCACCTGCTCTTACAGTTAAGGAAAGTTGATCAACAAAGAGTGAACAAACGAGCCCTTCAGCACCAGATGAGAATGGTAATAAAGGGACACGAGATGGTTCCCTGAGCGCTTGCTGCCAGACCTGACCGCCTGAGTTTGATCCTCGGGACCCACATGACGGAAAGGAAGAACTGACTCTTACAAGTCCTCCTCTGGCCTCCGCATGTGTGCTGTGGCACACACCTCCCCTAAATACAAAAATATGTAAAACCAAACACTGGTGAAAACTTGACTAAATTCAACTCTAGCAAGAACAATTTTGTTAGTTGTTATTTAAGTTTGCATATGTTGGGTCTGTGTGAACACAGTCTAGACTTGTGTTGTGGAAGAAAACAGGGAATCACTTTTTTTTTTAAATTCCAAGGTTTAAATCCCAACTTTTTGATGATAAAATTCAGTAGAGTAACATGTATTTAAAAAGCAATTAGCCCGTGGAATTGCAACTTTAAAAGTTATTTATTTTACTTATAATATAATTACATTGTTTCCTCCTTCCCTTCCCTCCTCTAAACTCAAAGGGAGCATGAGACTCCCCATTCACCCTCTCTTGCTGGCTGTGTGGAACAAAGAAGCTGGCTTGGCTAGGCAGAAGTCAGGGCATCACCTCTCAATTCGCCCTTCAACACCTGCAAGCAGCTTTTCCCATGGCTGACCAGAGACATCGTTAATTAATATTTTGAGTGTCATTAACTCTTTGACCCAATGAGTGAAGCTCAGCTTCTAACTTAATTGACCTCTTTGTAGGGTGCAACTGCAGCTTCCATGGTGTGTTTCCTTTCATCCCAGACCTACTTATGGTTCACGGTGGACCAGACTGGGGAAAAGAAGGCATACAGTCCTACACATGCTTAGAGAGGAGATGAGCAGGAGAGGTATGCCTGAGAGAAGACTATGTATGACATGGCAGAATTGCGACCATGGGACATGCAGCCCAGGGAAAGAAGCCATTTCCAGAACTCAGGTGCTCACTGATAGGGAGGAAGGTGGTGGTGCCGTCGTGAACAGAGTCAGTCATGTTTGTTTAGATGCTTTTCATCCTACAGTGTTGCCATTCATGACTTCCATTTGACGTTGTTTCTCCCAAGTGGCCACCATCTTCCTACCTCCCACCAAACCTTCAGCCAACATTCCAGCCCACTGAAAAGGTGACTTTCCTAAAATACAAAACCCTGGCATCTTGTGACCTCTGTGAGGTGAGAGGGGAATGAGACATGGTCTGGTCCCTTCTGCCCTTCAGCCTGACAGCACAGGGATTGCCAAAGACTCACCAAACAATTATTTTAAAAAACCATCATCATTATCATATCATCATCATCATCATCATCATCATCATCATCATCATCATCATCCTTGTGTCTGTGTGTACCTACCTCTCTCTCTCCACCTCCCAGGACGACTGTGTGTGTGCAGTGGCCTGGCTTATTCCAAGAGGTCAGAAGACATCTTTGTGGAGTAGGTGCTTTCCTTCCTCCCTTGCTGGGCTTTAGAACTTAAATTTAAGTCTTCTGGTTTGTACACCAAGCATCTTTAACCACTGAGTTATTTTACTGGCCTGATCAATTATATTCTGTTTGTTTGTTTAGAGGCAAGATCTTCTGTAGCCCAGTCTGGCTTGGAACTCTATGTGCACAGGATGACCTTGAATATCTAATACTCCTACCTCCATCTCCCAAGTTCTAGGATTCAGACGTGTGTCTCTATGTCTGTTGCAATGTGCTTTTGGGGACTGAATCCAGAGTTTCTTGCATGTTAGACAAGCACTTTACCAAACAAACCAGATTCTAAGCCAACCAACCAATTTTGTTTGTTTGTTTGTTTGTTTTTTTCACTTCAGACAACCTACCTCTTCAGAATCTGTAGGTGTGGAAATTCAGGAGTGGCTTCCTGCTGGATTCACTTCCTTGCCCCTGGACTTTTTTTTAAAAAATATTTTATTTATTTATTATGTAGACAATATTCTTTGTATATTTATTATGTATACAATACTCTTTCTGTGTGTATGCCTAAAGGCCAGAAGAGGACACCAGACCTCATTACAGATGGTTGTGAGCCACCATGTGGTTGCTGGGAATTGAACTCAGGACCTTCGGAAGAGCAAGCAATGCTCTTAAACGCTGAGCCATCTCTCCAGCCCCCAGCACCCATGTCTTTATACTCCCATAGATGTCATATCCTAACCACTCAAGATGACTGAGCCATGCATTTTAGGAGGCTCAAGCCTGCCTCCTGTCTGTTGGACTTGGGACATCAGCAGTATGGCATATACAGGATGGAAATGGAACTTGAAGGGTGGGTGAGGACAGAGGTAAGCAAGCTACATAGCCTAAAAACACTGGGCAGGCCACAGATCACCAACTTTTCTCCATGCAGTCGTGGTGGCTTTATAATTTTCTCATGATGTTCCAAAGCAAAAGAAATACTAAATTCTGGCCAGGTGGTGGTGGTGGTGCACGCCTTTAATCCCAGAACTTTTAGAGGTAGAGGCAGGAGTTCAAGGCCAGCCTGATCTACAGAGCTAGTTTCAGGACAGCCAGGGTTACACAGCCAGGGTTACACAGAG